GATAGTTTGTTGTCTACTAACCATTTGCTGCAGGACTCCAGTTCCAGTGTTAAAACATTAGCAATATCTTGTGGGTCTTTACCTGTCACTAACAGAGCACTGTCATCTGCATACAGTAGGAGTTTGCACTTGACACTGATAGGCATATCATTGACATAACATAAGAATAATAAGGGACCCAGAATACTACCTTGGGGAACTCCACAAGTTATCGGCAGGGGTTCTGATTCCTTTTTGTTGATTTTGACTATTTGTCTCCTGTTGCTAAGGTAGGACTTAAACCAGTCTACAGAACCTATACCGATAGCTTGAAGTTTCTTACATAATATATTGTGGTTGACAGTATCGAAGGCCTTTTGCAGGTCTAAGGTTACCATACCTATGAGGTTACCCTTTGACATTTCAGTTCTCAGGTAATCCATCAGATTAATTAGGGAGGTGTCGGTTGAGTAAGATCTTCTAAAGCCCGATTGATAGCTATGGAGAATGCTGTTGTCATTAAGGTACTTAACTACTTGAGAATACACCGCCCTCTCCAGAATTTTAGATATTATACTGAGTATACTAACAGGCCTATAGTTGCTTACATCAGACCTATTATTTTTCTTGAAGATAGGCTGTATTAGTGTTAATACCTGGGTCAGCACTGGGGCTGGAAGCTGAGCGGGGTGGTGTGTTTCTTTCCATTGGGTATCTATTCATTTCCAAGGCATCTGCTGTAATAAGGTATTTTGAATGTTGTTGTACATTGCATTTTTTTCACATTCCAGCTGTGTGGTGAATGCTGTGTTGTGAGGTACTGTGGTGAATGTTATCTCGCGTGGTGCTGTGGTGAATGTTGTCTCGCGTGGTGCTGTGGTGAATGGTGTCTCTCGTGGTGCTGTGGTGAATGGTGTCTCGCGTGGTGCTGTGGTGAATGTTGTCTCGCGTGGTGCTGTGGTGAATGTTGTCTCGCGTGGTGCTGTGGTGAATGGTGTCTCGTGTGGTGCTGTGGTGAATGGTGTCTCGCGTGGTGCTGTGGTGAATGGTGTCTCGCGTGGTGCTGTGGTGAATGGTGTCTCGCGTGGTGCTGTGGTGAATGGTGTCTCGCGTGGTGCTGTGGTGAATGGTGTCTCGTGTGGTGCTGTGGTGAATGGTGTCTCGTGTGGTGCTGTGGTGAATGGTGTCTCGCGTGGTGCTGTGGTGAATGGTTCTCGTGTGGTGCTGTGGTGAATGTTGTCTCGCGTGGTGCTGTGGTGAATGTGTCTCGCGTGGTGCTGTGGTGAATGTGTCTCGCGTGGTGCTGTGGTGAATGGTGTCTCGCGTGGTGCTGTGGTGAATGGTTGTCTCGCGTGGTGCTGTGGTGAATGGTGTCTCGTGGTGCTGTGGTGAATGGTGTCTCGCGTGGTGCTGTGGTGAATGGTGTCTCGCGTGGTGCTGTGGTGAATGGTGTCTCGCGTGGTGCTGTGGTGAATGGTGTCTCGCGTGGTGCTGTGGTGAATGGTGTCTCGGTGGTGCTGTGGTGAATGGTGTCTCGCGTGGTGCTGTGGTGAATGGTGTCTCGCGTGGTGCTGTGGTGAATGGTGTCTCGCGTGGTGCTGTGGTGAGTCACATACATACAGGTGGAAAGAGAAAATTTAAATGACTTCCAGAAGAAATCTTCAGAGTTCCCCCGGGACCACTCTACTGCCTCCCCCGACTCCCTGCCTGCTATTAATCTGCTTGCTATTAATCTGCTCAGCAGGCGGACCATACATACATAACCTATTTAAAACATTACACACACACACACATACTGTTGTGTGTGTGTGTGTGTGTGTGCAGTGTTGTTACCCTTGCAATATTGCATCACAGCTCCTGCTGACGCACGGAGACGTGTGAAAGATCTTAAGTTGAAGATTTCCATTCTCCTTGTGGCTTGTTTTGCAATGGTTAAGATCGCCTCTGTGCGATTGGACATCTGTACTGGACATCTATCTGTATATATATATATATATATAATATTATATATATATATATAATATAATATATATATATATATATATATATATATATAATGAATTTGGTAGGTGTGCAAAAGAAGAAAATTAAAGTGAATACAGGAAAGAGTAAGGTTATGAGGATAACAAAAAATTAGGTGATGAAAGATTGGATATCAGATTGGAGGGGAGAGTATGGAGGAGGTGAATGTATTCAGATATTTGGGAGTGGACGTGTCAGCGGATGGGTCTATGAAGGATGAGGTGAATCATAGAATTGATGAGGGGAAAAGGGTGAGTGGTGCACTTAGGAGTCTGTGGAGACAAAGAACTTTGTCCTTGGAAGCAAAGAGGGGAATGTATGAGAGTATAGTTTTACCAACACTCTTATATGGGTGTGAAGCGATGGGTGATGAATGTTGCAGCGAGGAGAAGGCTGGAGGCAGTGGAGATGTCATGTCTGAGGGCAATGTGTGGTGTGAATATAATGCAGAGAATTCGTAATTTGGAAGTTAGGAGGAGGTGCGGGATTACCAAAACTGTTGTCCAGAGGGCTGAGGAAGGGTTGTTGAGGTGGTTCGGACATGTAGAGAGAATGGAGCGAAACAGAATGACTTCAAGAGTGTATCAGTCTGTAGTGGAAGGAAGGCGGGTAGGGGTCGGCCTGGGAAAGGTTGGAGGGAGGGGGTAAAGGGGTTTTTGTGTGCGAGGGGCTTGGACTTCCAGCAGCGTGCGTGAGCGTGTTTGATAGGAGTGAAGGAGACGAATGGTTTTTTGATACTTGACGTGCTGTTGGAGTGGAGCAAAGAAAACATTTATAAAGGGTTCGGGGAAACCGGCGGGCCCGGGACTTGACCCCTGGAAGGAAGTACAGGCCTGCCACTCTGAAGGAGGGGTGTTAATGTTGCAGTTAAAAACCTTAGTGTAAACACCCTTCTGGCAAGACAGTGATGGAGTGAATGATGGTGAAAGTTTCTTTTTCGGGCCACCCTGCCTTGGTGGGAATCGGCCAGAGTGATAATAATATATATATATATAAATATAATATATATATATATATATATATATATATATATATAATATAAATATAAAAAAATATATATAAAATATATATATATATATATATATATATATATAATATAATATATTTTGGATTGTTTATCTCTTGTTCCAGATGCTATTGGATGAAGTAACTAAGCGACGATTAATGAGGAAGAGGTGATAAACGAGGAGTTAAATGAAGATGAAGACACTAATTGTTGCTTAGAAGTAGAGAGGGTGTAGAAAGAGGAGCGAGCAAGAGGAGACAACCACCTCCTTCAGCAGTGATGATGATGGCGTCTCCTCCAACACTTAAGTGGTGGCCTCCAACACTGCAACAGCAGCAGCCTTCCCCGCCACCCGTCTCCCTCACACTGGTGTTCTTGTTGTGCCTCTCGCATCAGGTGACGTCACTTCAGAGCCTTGACCTCCTGACATCACCCAGCCTCGTCGTCACCCCTACACGACTCGCTGGGGATGCTGTCCACCACTCCTTCCTGACGGAGAGGGAGGACACCACGCCGTCAGTGTCCCTGCTGACGGAGAGACACACCACGCCGACAGTATCCCTGTTGACAGAGAGGGAGGACACCACGCCGACAGTGTCCCTGCTGACGGAGGGACACACCACACCAGCTGTGTATTTACTAACGAAGGGGAGCGCCTCCACGCGAGATCTCTCGGTACTGACGGAACCCAGGAACGATTCGCACGACAATTCCACGCCGCGAAATGCCAATGAAGTGATGACATCGTCACGGGAAGATCAGAGAAACAACTCCACCCCTGAGGGCCAGGCCAGGCTGCTGCAGGAGCTGGCAACGACAGAGGAAGAGGAGAAGAAGGAGGAGGAGCTGTATTTAGAAGAGAGGATGCGGGAAACGGGAGGAGAAACCTACCACCACAACGACACCTCATCAGGTATGACTGTAGATTTGTATTTTCCATTGTAAACAAATACAGAACGCCTTGATCCCCTATGCTTCTCCAGGCTGTGTTGACAAATACGAATAGGTGTGTCCCTTACAAGGTGAATATCTGGGGCCGGTTGAATCTGTGTAAGTAAAATACGTATGCGAGTAAAGTAAGCTTATTCAGCTAACGTACACAAGCTTAGATTTACACAATTGTCTTAAGCTGTAGCACATGTGTACATGACCTCGGAAAGACAATAAAGCCAAAGTGGCTTTCTTTTACATTTACCGCTCTCAGTTCACGGGGTGTTGAGGTGCAACTCTTGGGTTCGCCTAGTAGTAGTAGTAGTATCAGTAGTAGTCATAGTAGTAGTAGTAGTAGTAGTAGCAGTAGTAGTCATAGTAGTAGTAGTAGTAGTAGTAACAGTAGTAGTAGTAGTAGTAGTAGTAGTAGTTAGTAATAGAAGTATTCTAGTCCTAGAAAGCGCTACGCCAGTGAGAGCCATTCAACGATAACATGCCCAGTGACGTCAGATGTCATAACAGAAGAGATGAAATCTGTTAAGCTGGACAAGATCTTACATTCATAAAAGTAATATGTGTATTAACCTGTTTAAAGAAAAGTCCTAATCTCCTATGGGACACATAGCTATAGATCACACTGCTGGAGATCTATAGGTAGAAATTTGGTCATAGTCTGATATACAACGCAGGCGGTGCGTGGTGATTTACGTAGCGGGGTTTGTTTACACTGTAATGGAAGGTAGGGCGGGGGTGGGTTCTATTTCCGTAAACTCTATTTGTGACCATTTGTTTTTGAAACCTTGGAGGGAGGGGTTCGGTGTTGCCAGTGTGTTCCGTTTTTACGAGTGCTCGTCGACACTCACAGGGGCGGGGATGAAAAACAGGAAAATCCAGGTCGTCTGGACTGGCCTGAGAGCGTCTTCCAGCGCCAGGGTGCACGTTAAGCTAAGATGGTATGAACTGCGAGTGATAATCTAACGCTATTAGTCCTAAAATAACACTAGAAGGCTTCTGCCCCAACCAACCTCTCAGACATCTCATCCACACTGCCAGACAACATGCACCACTGCTTAGTGACTCAGTGTACGCTACTCGACCCTAGTGGTTGCAGTTATCTGTGTCGTGGGCAGAGGAGGACGCTGGAGAATCAGCAGCGAATATTATCCGAACATACAAAGGAACTTAGGTGAGGAGGCATGTCAGTAAGACACAGTAGGTAATATTGGTAATGGGTTGGACGAATAATTTTGTTAGTGGGTTTGGGTTTGAGAAAGACCTGCCTAGTATGGGCCGGTAGGCCTGCTGCAGTGTTCCTCCTTTCTTATGTTCTTATGTTATAGAATTTTATTGTCAAGGCGTTTCGCTTCCTTGGGACCTTATCAATTCGCCTTGAATTGTTAAAGTCCCATGCGAGCGAAACGTCTTCACAATCCACGGCCCAAACCCGCATTGTGTCTTAGTTACTTACTGTGGAGACGGACACTTTTGTACAGTTCAGGACCTTTATTAAAGAAAACGTTTAGGCCTGGTCTCAGACCGAGCCGGGGGGCGTTGACCCCCGAAACCCTCTTCAGGTAAACGAGTGGAAAACCCCACTACTAGAAATGAAGAACTTTCATCTCTACCATCTCACGTCCCTACCCTGACATGCCTTGCGGCAGACGCCTCGTGTCAGTGTGCCTCATGTCGTATTATAACTAGTGTTTTCGTTATTCTGAGGCAGTCTGGGTTCCTCAGATGTCCCTTGTGGCATCTGATCATCTCCCAGGTTGCGACCCACAACGGTCAACCGACACCCAGGTACTTATTTACTGCTAAGTGAACTAAGACCACAGGGTGTAAGTTGACATGTCGCTGTCTAGTCCTTCAGTCCTGGGGACTGAAGACTCACTCACCTCCTTCTTCGCCCATATTGTAACAAAAGTGGCTGACTAAACCTCTTACCGAGTTTTGGACGTGATTCTTCGTGACAACCTAAAACTGTCATCGTGGAGGCAGTGACCTCAGTAAGCGACTCCAGGTAATCTCCAGGTAAACTCCAGGTAACCTCCAGGTAGTCTAAAGGTAACCTACAGGAAATAATCTGTTATGTAAGACACATATGCAACAGTTAGGTATCTTTATTTCGAAACGTTTCGCCTACACAGTAGGCTTCTTCAGTCGAGTACAGAAAAGTTGATAGAAGCAGAAGATACTTGAAGACGATGTAATCAGTCCATCACCCTTAAAGTTTTGAGGTGGTCAGTCCCTCAGTCTGGAGAAGAGCATTGTTCCGTTGTCTGAAACAATATGAAGTTGAAGTGACAGGATGGAGCCTTTATATAGTGCCAGGAGGTGGGACGTGGTTGCTCTGGGAGGGCAGGTCCTCTCAAACCCAGCCGTTCTCACTAGTAAAGGGCGAAGTTGATGGTCTGTACCAAGATACCCTTGTGTTGCAGTGTCTGACAGAATGAACATTAAAATGGTATAAAATACCGACAGATTGTTAGGTAAGACACATGTGCAACAGTTAGGTATCTTTATTTCGAAACGTTTCGCCTACACATAGGCTTCTTCAGTCGAGTACAGAAAAATGATAGAAGCAGAAGATACTTGAAGACGATGTAATCAGTCCATCACCCCTTAAAGTTTTGAGGTGGTCAGTCCCTCAGTCTGGAGAAGAGCATTGTTCCGTTGTCTGAAACAATATTGTAGTAGTAGCAGTAGTAGTAGTATAGTAGCAGTAGTAGTAGTAGTAGTATAGTAGTAGCAGTAGTAGTAGTAGTAGTAGCAGTAGTAGTAGTAGTAGTAGTAGCAGTATAGTAGCAGTAGTAGTAGTAGCATAGTAGTAGTATAATAGCAGTAGTAGTAGTAGTATTAGTAGTAGCAGTAGTAGCAGTAGTAGTAGTAGTAGTAGTAGTAGCAGTAGTAGTAGTAGTAGTAGTAGTAGTAGTAGAAGCAGTAGTAGTAGTAGTTTGTAGTAGTAGCAGTAGTAGTAGCAGTAGTAGTAGTAGCATATAGTAGTAGCAGTAGTATAGTAGTAGTAGTAGTAGTAGTGTAGAGTAGTAGTAGCAGTAGTATTAGTAGCAGTAGTATAGTAGTAGTAGTATAGTAGCAGTATAGTAGTAGTAGTAGTATAGTAGTAGTAAACAGTAGTAGTAGTAGTAGTAGTAGTAGTAGTAGTAGTAGCAGTAGTAGTAGCAGTAGTATAGTAGTATAGCAGTTAAATAGTAGTAGTATAGTAGTAGCAGTAATAGTAGTAGTAGTAGCAGTAGTAGTACAGTAGTATTAGTATTTGTAGCAGTAGTAGTATTAGTAGTATAGTAGTATAGGGAGAGCAGTAGTAGTAGTAGTAGTAGTAGCAGTAGTAGTAGACAGTAGTAGCAGTAGTAGTAGTAGTAGCAGTAGTAGTAGTAGTAGTAGTAGTTTGTAGCAGTAGTAAGTAGTAGTAGTAGCAGAGTAGTAGTAGTAGTAGTAGTAGAGTAGTAGCAGTAGTAGTAGTTGTAGCAGTAGTAGTAGTAGCAGTAGTAGTATAGTAAATAGTAGTAGCAGTAGTAGTAGTAGTAGTAGTAGTGGCAGTAGTAGTAGTAGTAGTAGTAGTAGCAGTAGTAGTAGTAGTAGTTGCAGTAGTAGTAGTAGTAGCAGTAGTAGTAGTAGTAATAGTAGCAGTAGCAGTAGCAGTAGTAGTAGCAGTAGTATAGTAGCAGTAGTAGTAAGTAGTAGTAGTAGTAGTAGCAGTAGTAGTAGTAGTAGTAGCAGCAGTAGTAGTAGTAGTAGTAGTAGCAGTAGTAGTAGTAGTAGTGGTAGTAGTAGTAGAAGTAGCAGTAGTTTGCAGTATAGTAGTAGCAGTAGTAGTAGTAGTAGCATAGTTGTAGTTAGTATAGTAGTAGTAGCAGTAGTAGTAGTAGTAGTAGTAGTAGTAGTAGTAGTAGTAGCAGTAGTAAATAGTAGTAGTAGCAGTAGTAGTAGTAGTAGAGTAGCAGTAGTAGTAGCATAGTAGTAGTAGCAGTAGTAGTAGTAAATAATAGCAGTAGTATAGTAGTATTAGTAGTAGCAGTAGTAGCAGTTAGTAGTAAGTAGTAGTAAGTAGCAGTAGTAGTATAGTAGTATAGTAGTAGTAGAAAGGCAGTAGTAGTAGAGTAAATAGTAGTAGTAGCAGTAGTAGTAGCAGTAGTAGTATAGCAGTAAGTAGTAGTAGCAAATAGTAGTAGTAGTAAATAGTAGTAGTAGTAAATAGCAGTAGTAATTAGTACAGTAGTAAATAAATAGTAGTAGTAGTAGTAGCAGTAGTAGTAGTAGTAGTAGTAGTAAGTAGTAGAGAGTATTAGTAGTAGTAGTAGTAGTAGTATTAGTAGCAGTAGTAGTACAGTAGTAGTAGTAGTAGTAGCAGTAGTAGTAGTAGTAGTAGTAGTAGCAGTAATAGTAGTAAATAGTAGCAGTAGTAGTAGCAGTAGTATTTGTAGTAGTAGCAGTAGTAGTATTTTAGTAGTAGTAGAATAGCACAGCAGTTAGTAGTATAGTAGTAGTAGCAGTAGTAGTAGTAGCAGTAGTAGTAGTAGTAGTAGTAGTAGTAGCAGTAGTAGAGTAAATAGAGTATAGTAGTAGCAGTAGTAGTAGTAGTAGTATAGCAGTAGTAGTAGTAGTTAGTAGTAGTAGTAGTAGTAGAGTAGTATAGTTGTAGCAGTAGTAGTAGTAGCAGTAGTAGTAGTAGTATAGTAGTAGCAGTAGTAGTAGTAGTATAGTAGTGGGAGTAGTATAGTAGTAGTGTAGTAGCATAGTAGTAGTAGTAGTTTGCATAGTAGTTTGTAGTAGCAGTAGTAGTAGTAGTAATAGTAGCAGTAGCAGTAGCAGTAGTAGTAGCAGTAGTAGTAGTAGCAGTAGTAGTAAATAGTAGTAGTAGTACAGTTTGTAGTAGTTTTATAGCAGCAGTAGAAGTAGAGTAGTAGTAGCAGTAGTAGTAGTAGTAGTTTGGGAGTATAGTTAGAAAATAGCAGTAGTAGCAGTAGTATAGTAGCAGTAGTAAATAGTAGTAGCAGTAGTTGTAGTAGTAGTAGTAGTTAGCAGTAGTAGTAGTAGTAGTTGTAGTAGTAGTAAATAGTAGTAGCAGTAGTATAGTAGTAGCAGTAGTAGTAGTAGTAGTAGTAGAAGTAGTAGTAGCAGTAGTAGTAGTAGTTGTAGTAGTAGTAGCAAGTATAGTAGTAGTAGTAGTAGTAGTAGTAGCAGCAGTAGTAGTAGTAGTAGTAGCAGTAGTAGTAGTAGTAGTAGTAGCAGTTAGTAGTATAGTAAATTGTAGTAGTAGTAGTGTAGCACAGTAGAGTAGTAGTAGTAGTAGTAGCAGTAGTATAGCAGTTAAGCAGTAGTAGTGTAGTAGTAGCAGTAGTAGATAGAGTTTATATAGTAGTTGTAGCAGTAGTAGTAGAGTACTAGCAGCATAGTAGAGTAGTAGTAGTAGCAGAGTAGTAGTATAGTAGTAGTAGCACAGTAGTAGTAGTAGTAGTAGTCAGTAGTAGTAGTAAGAAGGCAGTAGTTAGAGTAGCAGTAGCATTTTTATTAGTGAGTAGTAGTAGCATTTAATTATTTCATTATTATTATTATTATATTTTATGATTATTATTATTATTATTATTATTATTATTATTAATGTTATATATTATTATTATTATTCTTATTATGTATTATTATAATTATTATTATTATTCGTTTATTCAGTTCTGTTTATCGTACAAAATTTTTTTCCAGCATCTAGGATAACAAGGAAGTAGCTGCAGCACAAGACTTGTCCTGTCAGATGAACTAGACTCGTGGACCATGCACGGACCACCCTCACCTGGTCCAGACCGAGGAAAATGCCCTCCTGACTGGCCACGAAGATGACCAGTGGCCGGCCAGCGTCCATGCAACCGGGTGAGGTGAGTGAGGGAGGCAAACAGGGTGAATTGATGTGATTTAAAAAATAATGACTTAAAGTCTGTTGGATGATGCGTTGCCTAATGAACGTGCGTTTTCCTGACTCAGGTACGAACGGGGCGTTACTGCAAAGGCCCCAGTGGGGTTGCCCGCTCTAAACCGCTCTTCGAGGAGCCTGGTGGCGTGGCAGACTGGACAATACAACACTAACCGCAGCACTTCCGGCGTCAAACCGAAACGCGTCCATAAGAATCGTCAACGTGGCTAACGCCGGTGAAACGGGGGGCAGAAGGCAGAAAGGGGCTAGCCCCCTTTAAAGGTTTACTATACAAATAGCAGGATTAAGAAATAAGATAGATGAGCTAGATTTAAATTTCAAGTGCAGGGGACAAAGATATTATTTCTATAACAGAACCGGGTCAATCGAAAAGATAGAGAGATGCCCCTGAATGCACATCAAGGCTATAAATTATTTCCACACTGACAGGGTCAACAGGGAAAAGGGGTGGAGTAGCGAGTATGTCAGAGACAATTTTAAAAAGTTGTGTTTGACAATAATTAAATTAGAACGTCAGCCACTGAATCGTTTTTACAGCTTCCCGAGGCCGAGAAAAACTAAATTTTTTGGGGGTATTTACGGGGCCCCAAAACTTGAAGGGGGGCAGTAAACTTCAAAGGGACGAAAAATTCGAAGGCATCACAACAAAATGTTGTGCAAGGGAGATTTTAACTAAAACAGATTGACTGGAGAAATTTTTTACAGGAAATTTAGAGTCAGGTACTTTTTTGATACATCCGGATTGTTTTTTAAAACATTTGGACAGAGCCAACAGGGGAAATAACCTCCTTTACTTGGTTTTTTGCCCTAGGGAAACACTAATTTAAAATCTTGAGGTTTTGATGACTTGGGGAAAGTGAACACAAAAACACTCATTTTAATATACATGGGAATTCCCCCCAAAATGGCAACAAGTCTCCGTCCTGACTTTCGCTTGGGGATTCATAGGACGAAAAAATTTCTTAGGTGGGGAACTGGAATGACCTGACAAGGTCAGGGAGGGGGTGTGTTTCCGATAATGCTTTCCAGGGGATAGTTCGCTCTCAGTCAAATTATGTTCCAAAAGGGAAATCAGATCAAACAAAAAAAGACCTAAATGGATGAACAATAGATTAAAAAACTGATTGGTCAAAAAGACATATATAGCAAATCAAAAAGGAGAGGGGGAATTGAGAAATCGAAATATTTATTAAAGAAGGGAAAAAAAAAAGGGAATTTGAAAAGCAAAAAGAGATTAGAGGTTTAAAATTTGGGGAAGAGAATCAAGTAACCCAAAAGGATTTTTTCAGGGATCAGAAGTAAAAAAGGGACAAGAAGGCCCACCAAAATTCCTCGGGGCAGCTCACTACAGTGATAAGAAAAGTGTAAATTTTAACACATACTTCCCTCATTTTTACAAGGAGAAACCAGCGATATCCAGTAATGATAAATTATGTAGAACGGACGAAATAAACGTGTACTTTTTGGCACAAGGACATGGTCCTTAGGCAAATAGAAAAATTAAAACCCTAACAAACCCCCGGGCCCTGATAAACGTATGCAGGGTTCTAAAGGAATGTAAAGAGGAGTTTAGCACATTTTTTGGCTAATCTTTTAAAAATTTCACTACAAACTGGCATGGGCCAGATAAGTGGAAAAGGGCAAATGTGAACCTTTTTCAAAACGGGTACAGGCCCTTTAGCTTCAAACTATAGACCAAAAAGCCTAACCTCCAAGTGGGAAAATTTATGGAATCAATAATTGCCGAGGCGTTCGTCCACCTTGAAAAGCATAAATTTTAATCAACGAATCTCAGCGGTTTTACAAAGGGCGTTCCTGCCTTAGAATTTATTAACTTTTTTTATAAGGTTTTGAGGAGTAGATCATGGAATGAAATTTATATTGTGTATATGGGCTTCAGTAAGGCTTTTGACAGGGGCCCCATCAAGACTATTGAGGAAAAATTTAAAACCATGGAAAAGGAGGAGAAATTTTTTTCCCGGATAGAGGCATGGTTTTACAATAGGCAGCAGAGAGTTTGCATAAATGGGGAGAAAAACGAGTGGGGGAAATGTCCGGCGGTGTTTCCCCCAGGGGGCAGTGTTGGGGGCCCCCCCCTGTTCACAAACTACTAACACAATGAGGGCATAAAGAGCGACTCGGCAATTTTCCCAGACACCAAAATGGGCCCTCGAATTCATTCTGACGGGAATTCGAGCACTCCAGGAAGATTTTGAAAATGATGCAGGGCGGAGAAGTGGCGATTCGTTTTAATATAGACAAATCAAAGTTTAAATGTTGGGCGACAATAATCATGCCCCAATAAACTAAATAATGTAGATTTAATATTACGGATTGGAAAAAAATTTAGGGGTTTGGGTTTGCAGTAATCTAAACCAAGACAAAAATGCATAAGTTTCCAAAAAAAGCAATAGAATCCTTGGCTTCATATCAAGAAGCATAAATAATAGGAGTCCTCAGGTTGTTCTTCAACTCTATACATCCTTGGTTAGGCTCATTTAGATTATGCTGCACAGTTTTGGTCACCTTATTACAGAATGGATATAAATTCTCTGGAAAATGTACAAAGGAGGATGACAAAGTTGATCCCATGTATCAGAAACCTTCCTATGAGGATAGACTAAGGGCCCTGAATCTGCACTCTCTAGAAAGACGTAGAATTAGGGGGATATGATTGAGGTGTATAAATGGAAGACAGGAATAAATAAGGGGATGTAAATAGTGTGCTGAAAATATCTAGCCTAGACAGGACTCGCAGCAATGGTTTTAAGTTGGAAAAATTCAGATTCAGGAAGGATAAGGAAAGTACTGGTTTGGTAATAGAGTTGTGGATGAGTGGAACAAACTCCCAAGTACCGTTATAGAGGCCAGAACGTTGTGTAGCTTTAAAAATAGGTTGGATAAATACATGAGTGGATGTGGGTGGGTGTGAGTTAGACCTGATAGCTTGTGCTACCAGGTCGGTTGCCGTGTTCCTCCCTTAAGTCAATGTGACCTGACCTGACTAGGTTGGGTGCATTGGCTTAAGCCGGTAGGAGACTTGGACCTGCCTCGCATGGGCCAGTAGGCCTTCTGCAGTGTTCCTTCGTTCTTATGTTCTTATGTTCTTATGTTCTCTCTCTCTCTCTCTCTCTCTCTCTCTCTCTCTCTCTCTCTCTCTCTCTCTCTCTCTCTCTCTCTCTCTCTCTCTCTCTCTCCCACTCTTTCTCACCCACAACTAACACCATCCCCCACAGTTCATGAACCGCCTTGGTATAGTAGTGGTGCTGACAGATCTCAAGATCTGGGATGCTGGCGACGAGATCACCATAGGAACCAGACTCAACGACACTCTGGTCAACATGAAGGAGTACCGCAAGCGACTACTCAGGAAGGAACCGCACCTTCACAACCATAACTTGGTGTTTCTGACGTGAGTCTCTTTGTTTCTTTGCCTGTACGTCTGTTTCATTGTCTGTACAACTGTACGTCTGTTTCATTGTCTGTACATCTGTACGTCTGTGTCATTGTCTGTACGTCTGTTTCATTGTCTGTACGTTTATTGCATTGCACGTCTGTATGTACGTCTAAAGGATTAATATACCCGTTTCTTCTGAAAATAATAATTATATTATTATTATTATTATTATTATTATTATTATTATTATTATTAGTAGTAGTAGTAGTAGTAGTAGTAGTAGTAGTAGTAGTAGTAGTAGTAGTAGTAGTAGTAGTGGTAGTAGTAGTAGTAGTAGTAGTAGTAGTAGTAGTAGTAGTGGTAGTAGTAATAATCATAAATTAATGCTGTTATTTCCACAGACGTGCTGTGATGAACGACGATAGGGTAGGAAGGGCTGACATTGGACAGATGTGCAGGTGAGGAAATATCTGCTGTTTGTGTAGATCTGCAACTCACTATGATAACATGAACATAGATAATAAGTACGTTTATGGAGCAACTTCCAATGTGAACAGACTGACTGATGTAGTGGCCAGGCTTAGGCTTGGTTACAAGTACTTCTGGCAGTTTGACACACGCAAAGATGATGATCAAAACACTGTCTTGAGCACTATGTGCTTAATTGTCCACTTACTGAGGAATATAGAATAACAAGATATTAATAATAATAAGATGCCAGATATATTAAGTAAATTTCCTAAATTATTCAAAAGGCCTAGGAACTAGGCCCATTTTATGGGGCCTAGTTCCTAGGCTATTGTATATCCATGTGCTCGTGCACTACCGTCCACAGGATGGATATGTGAGTGCACAATAAACTAGCCACTTCGCTGGCAAAATCTAAAATCTCTCTCTCTCTCTCTCTCTCTCTCTCTCTCTCTCTCTCTCTCTCTCTCTCTCTCTCTCTCTCTCTCTCTCTCTCTCTCTCTCTCTCTCTCTCTCTCTCTCTCTCTCTCTCTCTCTCTCTCTCTGTGATTCTGCTTTGTATAGCTGTATAATCACTATATTATATCATCACTATACTCTCGTTATACACTTCGATGAGTATGACACACGTGTATCACTCTTGTATACAGGACGGACTTCGATCCCAGCGTACAGATCTTTGCTTAAAGAGCTTACGGACGTGGTCGACGTGAAGGCAATCTCAGTAAATTGAACTTGAAATAGTTTGTGGATCGACTGGGACAAAATCGAGAAAGAATTATTGAATATTTCCTGGGATGTGGTCCTGAGCATCATTAGTCCACACCAGTGTATGGGACAGCTGAATACTGAAACATACAATGTCTTTGTAAAATAATACCTGGTGAGAAACACTACAAGATCTCTTGTCAAAAGAGAACGTGCAAGAATGTACAGAAGACGATAAAGGTTTACTGAACAGCTGTAAAAAGGGAAAGATAATCTACACACAGATGTAGAACAGAAACTAAAACATCTACACCAGACGCAGGAAGCACACCAAAGGATCAGAAAATTGTATAAAAAATGCTAAAAATAAATTTTCAGTATTCTAACGTAAAAGAACAGAAAGAGTACCATTAACGAAAGTAAAATCCAGCCTTAGCAAAGTAAAAAAAAAAAAAAGTTCAGTGCCCCCTGGACGGGGTGCTGACGCCTTTCCTGTTTATCATCCTCGTAACATAGATAGCAAAACTAGCTACAGCTTCCTGCCATCTTGTGATTCATCACTCATATTCAGCACGGATGCGCATCTCTCTCTCTCTCTCTCTCTCTCTCTCTCTCTCTCTCTCTCTCTCTGATAAAGGGCTCTTGATAAGATGATTAGGGGATACATTTCCCATCCTTGAATGCCCCCCATTCCACAGGCGCTGTATAACTAAGGTGTCAACATTTTTCTGGAAACATGGTGATTGAGTAAATGATGGTGAATGTATCTTCTAATTAATAATCAATAATAATAATAATAATAATAATAATAATAATATAAAAAATTTCTCCTTTCTGTGAGTAGTGAGGTCCAGTCTGTGAGCGTGGTTAAGGACCTGAAGGAGGATCCCGGGCTGGTGGGCAGTATCCTGGCCCACGAGATGGGCCACAACTTGGGCATGAGGCATGACGACGAGGGACAACGATACCTGGGGCATCAATGCCAATGTCCCACCTCCATGTGCATCATGAACTCCAGTGTTAGGTCAGTACCCACGCTCACTACCCCATCAGGTTAAGCAGTGATGCGTCTGGAGGTTAAATGGATGGGTAACCTTGTCCCACTAACTGCTAGCGAAGCTGGACGAGGTTTTGATCTTTGCAGACGTTTTTACTGGACAGCTTCCAGTGAACCCGAAATTGTGCAGGAAGAACCAAAATGTCGAGTTATTTGTGTTTTGTCATGGTAGTCTGCTGATGCCGCTACCATGCCTCTATGTGGTACCCTTGTATGGTAATACCTTTGTATGGTTGTCCATTTGTATGGTAGTACCTTTGTATGATAGTACCATTGTATGATAGTACCTTTGTATGGTTGTCCATTTGTATGGTAGTACCTTTGTATGATAGTACCTTTGTATGGTTGTCCATTTGTATGGTAGTACCTTTGTATGATAGTACCTTTGTATGGTTGTCCATTTGTATGGTAGTACATTTGTACGGTTGCCCATTTGTATGGTGGTACCTTCGTATGGTAGTACCTTTGTATGGGTATCCATTTGTATGGTAGTATCTTTGTATTGTAGTACCTTGTATGGTTGTCCATTTGTATGGTTGTACCTTCGTACTTTCTCATGTTCTTATGTAAATACATACGTGGTTTTTTGATAATGACCTGCCTTGTATGATCCAGTGGGCGTGCTGCAGTGTTTCTCCATTCTTATGGTCTTTGTATGATAGGAATCTGTATGGTAAACCATCGGTCATGGGCAGTGTTAATGGAATTAGTGAAGTAAATAAGTCTCATCCTTGCTTCAGAAGCACGGGAGATTTCCGTGTCTGGGTGTTATGGTTCAGTTATATGTTAATTCCTGCTAGAATAATTTGTATCAGTTATTTATCTTTTATCCCTGCAGTGATGTATACAATCCCAGGATAGCCTGGAGCTCCTGTAGTAGGGAATACGTCGACAATATGCTGGAGACGACAGCCTATGACTGCCTGAAGAACGTACCGACGAGGATGATGTCAGAGGCTAGCTGTGGGGATGGGGTGGTGGACGTGTCTGCTGGGGAGCAGTGTGACTGCGGTCCCCCGGAGTTCTGTCACAACCCCTGTTGCGTCCCCACCACCTGTAGGCTAGCAGCCAACGCCTCCTGCGCCTCTGGTTCCTGCTGTGACACTCAGGTGACAGAGATATTCAATTTAGCGCTTTAGGTTCGATCGATCCTGTGAACTCCAACAAAAGAGATAAGAGTTGATTCATGATAGTTGATACGTTAACCAAAAAAAAGTACTCTGAACGAAAAAGTAGAATATAACTTTGGTGCGTCTGAGTCTATGACGAGGAATAACATTAAGAAATAAATAAATAATGAAAATGAATGCTGTAGGAACGCAGTTAGAAGCCTGAGTAGTATCCTTCACTTGTAATATAAACAAAAAAAAATGATGAGTATCTTCTGTGTTTTATTAGATATCTGATTCCCATCTTAATGAATGATAGATGAGAAACTGGCATATTTTCCTATCTAATTCTTTCAGTTCATGATAGTCTCTACTGCTGTATCAGCTTTCCTTGTCGTGGTAAGAGTAATGTTTACTTCTGGACGAACAAGTTTATTGATGTTCTGTTATACGTGAAAAACTCTAAGAGAATGTTTTGTAAGAAAATTGGTGTTAAATTTGGAACATGGTCCTTTTATAATTTACTGCAGAGGTGTCAGCCCAAGAAAGTCGGGTCAGAGTGCCGGGAGGCGAAGAGTGAGTGTGACCTGCCAGAGTACTGCTCGGGGGAGTCAGAGTACTGCCCCGACGATGTACTCAAGAGTGACGGATCCACCTGTTGGGGAGGCAAGGTGAGTCAATTCTGCAGGTGTGTCAGGGTGAGTCTGGCATCCACTTTTACCCCCCTCATCCTGACCTTTATCATGATTCACCTCAAGATCATCACCCTGACCACTCCTGACCCTCTTCCCTGCCACCCTAATCCTCTTCCCTGCCACTCTGGCCCTATTCCCTGTTACCCTGACCCTCTTTCCTGCTACCCTGAACCTCTTCCCTGCCA